AAAAAAAAAAACGGGGAAGGAAAACAGGACAATTTTCCGAGCCTTTAACATCCTTTTACTTTTTCATAGTGATCTTGAGCTCCTCGGGGCAGAGAGTAAATTCCCATTTGTTGGATTAGCTTCCACCTCAGAGGTGCTATTTATCCAAGCCGGAAGCATCCACAACAGGAAGCGTTCCGCGGAGGTGTGTTTTCGCACAATTTGCAGCAGGGCAAAAGCCTAGACTGCTTTTGGAAGTCTCGAGTTTAGATGTAATTAAGGGCTCATTACAGGTAGTTCGTCTTCTGTTGACTTGCTCACTCAGTGGTTCTCACCTTGGTACGTACAGAAGAATCAGCTGTGGAGCTATTCATTCATTCCAGCTTAAAGGAAGACATCGACCCTCCCCTCCCCCTCGCGTTTCTGATTCTAAGGTGTTTTGTAGCTGAAGCAGCTGCTGAAGACACGTGGAAGATGGACGCCATTGAACCAGGAGAGGCAATCTTTTCAGAACACGCCTCTTCCTTTCTTTGAGCCTTTCTGTGTAGCCACCGGCTGTTGTCCTGCAGCCTTTCTGTGGGCCTAACATGCGGTGCTCAATAAAGCAAGTTGAGAGAGTTGGTTTGAAGTACCACTGCGTAGATGGGCACATCCCAGCATTTCCTGCTGTTTCTAGCTCAGCACCTCTCTGGGTGGGTTTATTTTTATTTTCTGTACTCTTTTGTGGGGCCGGAAACCATTTACCACAACCATTGGGGAGAGTCAATGCAGTGGCGGGAAGCCCAGCCATGAGCACCTCCTGCCCCCACGTTTCCTGTCCCGTATCACATGGAAATGATCTGTGTTTGCCCCTTAGCAGCCTGTCTCTCGGGCTCCTTTGATCACATCCTTTCATCTTGGGCTGCAATACACTTTCGCTCTGAGGGTTGGAAAACACTTGTGGGGAGGTCCCAGACGCCAGATCTTGGCTCCTGGAGGCTCCGCAAGGCTGGCCATGGTCATCTGCTGAGGGGCTGAGTACAAACCCAGCATGACCCGCCCAGCTTGTTGGATGACAGACAGTTCTGGCACCTGCAAGTTTCTTGCGTGTTGTGTGACTTGACTTAACGCTGAAGGCATTAAACAAATATCAACAGAACCAAATATATAAATGAACGTATCAACAGCCTCAAAGGAAAGGCAGACACAGGCAGCACTTCAGGGCCACTGAGCAGCCGTAAAAGGTGATGGGTGAACAACACGCGCATCCTAAATGTCACGGAGCTGTTTAGGGGAAGATGGTTTACAAGGCAAACCATTTTGTATCTCTTTACTACAATGAAAAATTTAAAACATTTCCCCAATGGAGGAAAATAACACTTTCCAAAACAAGCCTCTTAGGTAGAAGGCTGAGCAAAGTGTGAGCCAAAACAAACACCGATTTATTTGCTTACATGGAATTCATAGGTGGGTCCAAACTCCTGCAGAGCTTCTTGCAGTAGGATGGAAGAGGCTCGAGGCCACCAGAGCGGCGGCTGGGGGCTGCCGAGGGACTTTGCTTGGTCCTGAAGCATGATTCGAGGGTCTGACCTACCGTTTCCTGTCTCTTGACCGGTGGGTAGCAGTTTGAATCCCCCAGTCACTCCGTGAGATGAGGCTTTCTACTTCTGGAAAGAGTCACAGTTCTGTTCCTGTACGGTCATGATGAGTCAGAATTGAGTTGATGGCGGTGAGTTGGATGATGGCCTTGTTTCAAAGTTAGCAAAGGATTCATTTGGTACCCAGGAACTGCGCTCGAGAGTCCCTGGGATGGTACGAGATAAGACACAGCCTTGCTGTCTGGGAGTGAGTTAGCTAATATTGATTCTCTACCATATGTCTGGTGTGGTATGAAGTGCCTTTCTATGTTTTATGTTTCCCTCTTTTATATTTCATTAGTTAGCTGGGGTGGGGGGAGGAGTATTCTCATTTTCCAGATGCAGTGGAAACTTGGACTTCAAGTGTTGCAATTTTAATCTTACCTCTCTAATTCCAAAGTATTTGGCATTGAACTGAGGTAAATAATGAAACAATGAACATGGGGACAATAATACTTGACACTGTTTTCGCAGCCAAACATCAATGAAAGTCCCTTGCTAAGGCAACTGCTCTATAAATGTGTTAGGACTCTCATGGCAGTCATCAGAAACACTGGGGACCGCCCCAGGGCTTTCTGCTTTGCTCCCCCAGCTGTGGGGCCAATGTTACTGGCTTTCAGTTCCAGGGCTGTGAAGGTCAATGGCAGGCCTTGTTCTTTCCTGGAAGGATGAAAGAGACCTTAGG